GAGGTCGATAAAGGGCTTTCAGGTCGGCTCAGCGCGGCAGCCATGTAAATTTAAATGAGGCAGCAACGGAGCCATGTAGTCTAGACACAGCCTAAGATGGATAGAAAGCTGGCTAGACCAGGGTTTCCCAAACTTTTTACTTTAGTTGGAACCCGCTTTTTTTCAGTACTGTTTTTTGCAGCCCAAAAATATAAATAAATATTAAAAAAAGAATTAAAAATGAATAAATGTTCAGTGTTTTACCCGGCTGCATCCTCCGCCCAGCCTTGGCCAGAGCTTGGAGGACCCGGTGCCGCATGGACTCTCCAGGAGGCGGGAGCAGGAGCAGATAGGGGGTAGGGTATCTGGCTAGGAGGGAGGGTGCAAGGAGGGGTAGGGTTGCCAGGTGTCCAGTTTTGTACCGGACAGTCTGGTATTTGAGGGTTCTGTCTGGAAACAAATTGAGAAAATACCGGACATATAAAATATCCGGTATTTTCTAATTAGGTAAGTTGTATTATTATTAGGTGTATCAGCCCATAACTGCGAACTGCCTAGCTAGTGGATGTGCTCATGCCTGCCCCACTTTTCCCAATCTCCTCCATCCAGCCCTGCTGCCCCCGTCCAGCGCTGCTTCCAGCAGCCAGTTCCCTCTCCCCCGTCCCCCACCGATCTCCCTTGGCCAGCCCCCATCCAGCCCTGCTTCTGGAGGCTGGTTCTCCAGTTCTCCTCCTGATCTCCCCCGGCCAGCCCTGCTTCCGCTGCCCACACGCCCCAATCTCTGTTGGACAGCCCCGCTGCCCCCCAACCCTGCTTCCTGGTGGCTGGTTTTCCCCCCCCACACACACACACACCTCCTCCCCGCCCGCCCCGCCTTCCTCCCGCCAGCCACACTGAGGCCTAGTATTTTTTCCTGCGGCCTGGTACTGGGCCGCGGCCCATAGTTTGGGAAATGCTGGTCTAGACAGTATTTGGTCCTGCCATGAGGGCAGGGGACTGGACTTAATGACCGCTCTAGGTCCTTCCGGTCCTAGGATTCTATGACTCAGTGAAAACTACTGACCAACGATGGTCATGTCACTCCTCGGTCACTGCAAGTCGTCCTGCTCTGAGCCCACGTGCAGAAGCACAGAGGTTTCCAACAAATCCGTTCCTCTCCACCAACCTTCTCTCTCTTTGGAAATAAAACAAACACCCCTCCCATTATAAAAGCATGTTTCTTTCATGTGTTGCAAAGAACTGCTGTCATTAATTGTAGACACTGACTTCAATTTATATTGCCTCAGACCATGAGAGCACTATTCAGTTTTCACACAAGCCAATCTCAGTTCTTAGCAGCGGGAATTTGCCTTGTTTCGTTTTTGTTCAGACCCGATTGTAGCCAACACCCTTTGATGGGGAGGGGAACAAGACCAGTTACGGAGTGAGTACAGCGTTAATAAAGATCTCTGGTCCACTGAAAAGGTTTTCAGTTTGTCAGGGAAGAGGTAAAAGAGCAGATGAAACGAAAACGACGAGTTCCTTTCTTCTGCTTAACCCTAATAAATGTCATATGAACAACTTGCCCCAGAGGAATGGAGCAGTGAGTCACCGACCAGCTTCTCGCCTGACTCCTTTGAGTTTCCCCGCAGGTGTTCCAGAAACGGGTGGACGGGTCGGTGGATTTCCAGCGTGACTGGGATTCATACAAGAGAGGGTTTGGTAACCGGCTGACGGAATTTTGGTTGGGAAATGACAATATCCACCTGCTGACATCACTTGGTAAAGCAATCGCGGGCACCCCTGTTCCATAATGTTTCCTCCATCCCGCTGCTCCCCTCCTTTGCAGTGTGGCGTCGAGGGATCCCCACACTAGTAGTAGAGCTCCCAGCGTGACCGTAGATCAGGGTGCTTTGCCAAGGAGTGTAGGAATCACTGTGCTGAAGCCAAGGCACAGAGAGATGAATTGTCTTGCTCCAGGTCACACAGCAAGTCAGTGGCCAACCTGAGACTGGAGCCCAGGTTTCACTCTCAGGGCAGTGCCCAACTCACTGGTGCACGCCAGTAGTGGTGAAATTGCTACTAGAATCGCCACTGGCTGATCCTGGCAGGGAACAGCCAAACAGCAAACATGCGTCTGCTCATGGAGATAGCCAAAGGCTGGGTTCCCCAAAAAGACTGATGCCTTAATGGCAAAGTTCTACAAACTCGATCCCTGCCTCACCAGCGGCTAACACTGCCCCGTGCAAGGTCACGTTCTTCATGGTTGCATGATCTCCACAAAGAGAGAGAAACAAGGACTCTACCCACGCAATGCCAGCCTCAGATCACTATCCCTTCCCACAGGTTCTAGCTCCACGAATGATGGCAAAGTCTGTCAAGTCCTTCACTGCTGTAGATTCTGATTTCCTCTCTTGGGGAAAAGTCTTGGCTGTGGAGTCTGTTTGCCAATGGAAAGATGAGCTTGAGGGATGGAAATGGGCAAGGGTGGTGTTTCATGCCCAGATGGGTCACCGGGGCTACGTCTAGACTGGCATGATTTTCCGCAAATGCTTTTAATGGAAAAGTTTTCCGTTAAAAGCATTTTCAGAACAGAGCGTCTAGATTGGCACGGACGCTTTTCCACAAAAGCACTTTTTGCGGAAAAGCGTCCGTGGCCAATCTAGACGCGCTTTTGCGCAAAAAAGCCCCGATGGCCATTTTCGCGATCTGGGTTTTTTTGCGGAAAACAAATCTGAGCTGTCTGCGCAAAAGGGCCAGTGCAAAAGTTTTGTGCAAAAGGGACTTTTCCTGAACGGGAGCAGCATAGTATTTCCACAAGAAGCACTGATTTCTTACAGTAGGAAGTCAGTGCTTTTGCGGAAATTCAAGCGGCCAGTGTAGACAGCTGGCAAGTTTTTCTGCAAAAGCAGATGATTTTGCGGAAAAACTTGCCAGTCTAGACACAGCCCTCATGTAAAACCGAAGTGTGTGCAAAATGTTCATGCCATCTGCCGGGCCTTTCACATTGCATTTACATTCGACAGGAAAAAATGAGCTGCGCATTGACCTCAGAGACTTTGAAAATAAGAAATATTTTGCCAAGTACGAGTCGTTCCAAATTTCCGGAGAGGCTGAGAACTACAAGCTGGCCCTTGGGGATATGGTCGGGGGGGATGCAGGTAGGTACTAGCTGTGTCCGCAGCAAACAATAAACGTACTCGCCTAACAGAAATGTAAGAGAACCTGCAACAGAAGCAAAACAAACCTTCCCAGGGCCAGGCTGGCTGCCTGCCCACCTCAGGTTTAGTTTTCATTAAGAACGTGAGAACGGCCCCAGAGGGAGTGAACAGAGCAGGGAATCATCCAGTGATCCCTCCCTTGTCACCCATTCCCAGCCTCTGACAGAGGCTAATGACTCCATCTCTGCCCATCCTGGCTAATAGCCATCGATGGACCTAGCCTCCAGGAATTCATCTAGCTCTTTTTTGAACCCTGTTAACGTCCTGATCTTCACAACCAGGACCTCGGGCCACATCCTGAGGCTTTTTTTTTTTTTTTAACCATCCCGTTCCTCTCCTCACTGGACACAGGGCCAAATCCTGAGGCCCTCACTGAACAAAACGGTCACGTCACAGGGAAGCCAGCAGCAGTTTGGCTAAGTGAAAACTGAGAACAAAATCTAGTTTAGAGGGATTGGAAGCTGGGGCCCAGTTTTGACTCGAAAGTGACCCGAAAACACCCAGGAGCCCAAACTCCGGAGACTGGGATATGGGAAGCAATTAATTCCTCCAAACTGACCGGCTCTACCTTAAGTGGAAGGAAATTAACATCCAAGTTGACACCTGGGTTCCTTGGTTTTTTACAGGGGATTCATTGGCCTACCACAAGGACATGAAGTTTTCAGCCACAGACCGTGACAATGATCTGAATCCAGATAACTGTGCAAGCACCTTCCATGGAGCCTGGTGGTTCAGAACCTGCCACGAGGCCCACCTGAACGGGGAGTACTTGCAGGGAGCTCATGATCGCGCTGATCATGGTGTGCTCTGGAAGAAGGGCCTGGGGAACCAATATTCCTACAAGCTCTCCGAAATGAAATTCAGGCCTGTTTCCTAGCATGGCTGTGCGCACTCCCCTCCCAAAGGCCGTTCTGCAGCAAGCACCAGCTGCCTTTGGCTGAAGGAAGCATCTTTTCTGCTTGCAAAAGCTTGTCTGAGTGGGAGTTCTGATCTGTAGCTCCAGTGTCTCCCTTTTCTAGACCCAGCAGCACCATCTCCTCCAAAATGGGAGTGGGGAAGCTTCAACCCCTCCCTCCCTAATGGGTGCGGGAAGCTCAGGGCAGGGGCAGTCCTGGCCTTGGGGGG